GACTCATCAGGAGGCTGAACCCTCAACAGTCTGCAGAATCCCCTCACTGATTACACTGTAAATGATAATCTACCTTAACCAAAATCAAAGTAGACTATCACTCACCCACACCAGATGGAAAACTCTACAGACTGTCGGTATATATATATATCGTCACAAACAGAACTGCCCGGTAAACGAGGGGCTGTGACAAACTGTTTCGTCAGAGTTTCACCGACTCATATGTATATATATATATACACACAGAGCGCAGTTTAGACAGAGGGGGAGAAGAGGACAACAAGCGAGGGGCTGTGACAAACTGTTTCGTCGGAGTTTCGCCGACTCATCGGGAGGCTAAACCCTCTACAGTCTGCACAGTCTCCTAACCGATTGTGCTGTCAGTGATAGTCCACCTTTAACCCCGGTTGCAGTTAAGCATCCGCGACTACTTGACAACTGATACCCACCTTTAACCCCTGCCGCCGTCTGGTGTGGGTGAGTCCTAAGATGGGCACCCACCACTTCCGTCGAGGAAGCTGTGACGAGAATCCAAACAGACTATCACTCACCCACCCACACCAGACGACAACCTCGACAGACTGCAGTTTCACACCCCCATCATAATGAGCCAGCAATACCCCCACAAACACAATGAAAGGTCTGTCTCAGAGAGAAAGTACAGTCCACACACGCCGCTGACACTTGAGGCATAATCTGGCGAAGCGTGCCACCACCGTGACAAGACTTGGAAACAATTGCACGGCGGGGGAACACTTGAATGAATACCTGAAAACCTGCAGAGAGAGAAAAACACCTGAAAACCTGCAGAGTGTGAGAACTCCTAAAAATTGTGAAAATCTGCAGAGAGTGAAAACCTGACGCTCCCCCCCAAAAACAAAGAGCGAAATTCAGAGAATGCAATATAGAATGGGCCTCGCTCCACTACTCTCGACATGCACAAAGGACAAAAATCACAGCGACGTATCTTCCCATGTTCTAGCGAAAGATTCGCTCTCGTTCTGAACATTTCGAGAGTGGTGAAGCGAGGCCGAATACCACTCACTAAGCGGTGTTCGTCTCTGTTTCATTACAACAGAGGTTCTGTTCCATTGAAATGTGGGCTGGGAAGCCTTGCAATACTTTATCAACCACCACCAGTACATGGGCACCTGGGCTGCGGGCCTGACACCTCAAATTCTGGAGGCGCGAAACACAAACACCACCGCCGATCAAATTTATCAACGGCGGGCCCAGCGTTTGACGTTTCGGCCTCCTTTTTTCTTGTGGCGACAAGTTTTCGGACTGCAAGGCTGAGGCCGTGTACTTGTGATTTAAGGGCACAGCACCTCTGACGCTGCCAGTAGCCAAAACAAATATAGTTTAAGGGTTTAAACCACCAGTATATGGCCCCAGGCAACTGGAGAACCTGTTTTGAGCCTCTCAGGAAATTTAGGAGGCTGAGCACCGTAGATCAAATGAATCAGCAGTGGGCGGCCCTCCGAAAGGGGGCCCGTGGCCGATAGCTGGCATGTACTGGCTGGTGCTTTAAGCCACCACCAGTACCTTTCCCAGCCAAATTGCTGAAACGCGCCGGTTAACGCAGCGGCCTCAACCGGGCCAGCGCGCCGGCCAGATGGGGCCCGAGAACTCGGCGCGCGCAGGGCCCGCGGCCGACATACAGCAAAGGTACTGGCGGTTTAAATAAATGTGAGCAAAAGTTCAAAGCTGAGGGTACAGAGACTGCAGGCTGTGGATAAAAGCCCGCAACGAACACACACAAGGGGGGCGGTGTATACTGCATCGTGTATGCACACCTTTCTGCTGCTGCCCACTGCTGCGGCCATCTTGCCATAGATCCCGATTCCGGTTGTTTCCCCATGCTGCACGCACGGGGCAGCTATGCGACATCTTGCTGCAAGAAAGGATTAGCGATCTCTTCTGTTCCGTCCGTTGGGGCGACCAACATGACCGCCGTTCCTCTACAGACAATCAGCCCTAGAGGACGAGTTTTATCTGTGGTCTTCAGAGGGTCATCCGGATCCCTTAAGAACTCGACGGCCTCGTCCAGCACGAGATTCAGAAGCGGGTCGTAACCTTTGAGAGTACCTGTGACCTGCCTCCCGCCACTGAGTTTCACACATACGCCTTTGTCGACAAACTTGGCGAGATCGAGAACGGTCTCCTTGCGGCTGGACATAATGATGATGATGACGATGATAAGCCGGCAGGAGGAATATGATTGATTAGTCGAAAGGAGGGAGGTGGTGGCAGATGTGAAACGATAGTGATGGCAGATGTGAAACGATAGTGATAGATGTGATGAGCAATGACGCACACGGCGAGCGATGGGCACTGCTGGGAGTGATGGATTAAGAAGACCGGCAGCTGTATATCATAAACTTTATGCCTCTGTTTGCCATACCTCCCCCCTCCTCCTCTCTCTTCCTCCTCGGTGCTCGTTTCTCCTCCCTTCCTACCTCCCTCCACCTCCTTCAAGATTGCATCTGCCGGTTCGACTCGCGGCCACGCTTCCGGATGTGATTGCCAGCTGTGTCACCAGAGAAGCATCACACATTCAGAAATACCGCCGTGGCAGCACCAACGCCTAGGCAATAAAAGAAAAAAGAGAGTCAAAACCACTCCACAAAACCAAGACGCAAAAAAAACAAAAAAAAAACAAGACGCAGGCAAAACGAGAACCTAGAGATTCCAAGGAAAGAAACAACATGTGAACGGATCCGTATTGGTTGAGAACAACAACTATTCAACAAAGAGGGGGGAAAACAAGACCAAAAAAAGTTCACCAAAGAGGGGGGGGGGGGGGCAGGAGGGGGACAAAACAAGACAATGAAAGTTTAACAAAGAGGGGAAAAAGACAAGAAAAGACGAAGCATCAATTAATCACGAGTGAAAACAAAGATCCATGATTATTTCCCCACCCCACGCCCCTTCGAGATATTATCGTTGCATCACCAAGCAAAGTACAATCTGCCCTTTCGACATACATATTCTATTATCCTCATCATCTCATTTTTTTTCGTACTCTATCATTATTGTTACATTTATTCAATTTTATTTCACTTTTTTCAAAATTAAAAATTTCCATTCATTATTACAACTCTAATTATTATGCCAGATTGCCCATTTGCCTGACCTGACCTGACCTGACCTGCAATCAATTGGACTGATACGAGTAATGACACAGACCTGCATTCGTCCTTTGTGTAAGCGCCCCAGATAAGGCATCCGCCCCAGATAAGGCATCCACCCCAGATAAGGCATCCGCCCCAGATAAGGCATCCGCCCCAGATAAGGCATCCGCCCCAGATAAACTACCCACCATGCAAGGTTCTACCAAACCAATTGTTTTTTTGTTTTTTTGTTTTTTTGTTTTTTAAACAAAAAACATAACCTTAGGGCTCCGGCTCCTTTTCCATTTGGGGGCGCATCAGTCCAGTTCCTTTTCCACCTGCACGTCAGAAAGGATTACAAAAGTACTCTCACTCAACGCCCCGGCCCCTCCTTAAGGTGTGCAGGCCCGAAGGACGGCATTGATTACTTCCCGAAGAAAGGATGTACCACCCTTCACCCCTGCCTAAGATAGCCGGTACTATTGTGCTTCTACTCTTGTCATAACACTTTGGCTTATGTACTTTGTCTCCTTGGGCCTCCACCATCCTGTTCCTCTGGCAGCTCCTAGGCCGTCAGATCCGCCAAACTCCCTAGAACTGTTGGATAGGCGTTTTCCCCTTTTTTGTATTGTATTAACTAACTACAATAAACTCATAGATGTTCTTTTATTTGTACTATTTTACATCAATAAGAATCTTCCAACCCCTATGCGTAGGGGCCTACTGGGATCGCTGCATACTTGCTTGGCATAAAAGCCTTGGGCCCTTGCTTGTCTGTCATCTCTCTAATATCGTAACTGCTTAACGCTCTCTCTAGCTACTACTACCGTAGATCATGGCTATCCTGGATCTGTGTTAATCCTGAGCCTTCCATCCTATAATCGGTTTGTCCAATATACCTTTCTCGGCCTTTTCGCTAAGATCGAGTGTAGTATCTGTTCTGATCAGTTTAATATCTGATCCGTGGTCCATCGGGCCAMAAAAAAAAAAAAAAAAAAAAAAAAAAGGTTTGTCGGAACTTGTGTCCTTATCGGCCGTGGATCCTTCTGGTGCCATCTGTTTTGTTTTTGTTTTTTTTAACATGCAAAACATACAGTTATGTTTTATGTTTAGGAGCCCTATCTGACCAATTCTACCATCTGGTGGCAGGAAAGTGATCCCTTGGGCCGTTTGTGATATTTTAGAAGACCTTGTGAAGATTTTGTGAAGATCTTGTGACCCCGTGGCTGGTGTTACCTTTGGTGGGGGCAGGTTTGCGCAACGAGTCTGCTTTGCAGCAAGCAGGTAGCAACAGAGCAGAAGTCTGTGGATGCACGGCGACTGAGCAAACAGTGGGCAGGTTTAATATTTGCACCAAAACTGCAAATATTAAACCTTCACCTCACCGCCTCAGAAGACGTGATTCTGCGATTGCAACAGAGCAGAAGTCTGTGGATGGACGACGACTGCGCCTTGCTTGGAAAAGACTCATCCATCAGATGCACCAGAGCATGTCAGGATCTTCGATCGCGCGTTGTGGATGTCGTCCCGACCCTCCACGATGAAGCCTTCCTTGAACAGGACCCGGGAGGGAGGGGGGGGAAGGGTAGGCGACGACGACAGTAGTAGTTATGGGTTTTCCATTAGTCTCGTCTGAGGACATAGTAAATGCGTAGCAGTTTTTGCTTGCCTTCTTCTCTGCCCCAGTACGCTAGTGCGTGTCTCTGTAGGGGCTCATTTAATATTACGGCACGGTCTCCTGTGGTCCATTGACTGTCTTTTTTGAGTGTGGGCACCCATTCTCGTGGGATGGCTGCTATGATTTCCTGCAGGGTCTGATTTAATCCATGGCAGCCCTTGAGAGATGTTGTCTGAGTCGTTTGCCTTGTTTCCATTCTTTCGCATTATCATCCCAGATGTGTTCGATCTGCCATATTCCTTTCTCTAGCCGGACCCCCCCATTTTGCATCTTTGAGGTCGGCGGTACTGGGCTTCCGTCTTCTTTCGTTATCCACTGGTTACAGAATAGGGGCTGTCTTAGTTTCACCTCCTTGTTGCGCGGTTTCCTGACCTTATCTGGGAAGATCTCTCTCCTACCTTCTTCACCCGAATACAACGTACGGTCATTATGGCTGTATTTAGATGGCAAGATGGCCCAAATACAGCTATAATGACGGTACGTTGTATTCGGGTGAAGACTGTAGCACGAAGGATCCCTTTCCAGAATCCCAACCCAGAATCGTGTCTTGGGTACACTGAGGTGTGATTTCCCCCTTTCATTGACCTTTTTTTTTTTTTTTTTTTTTTTTTTTTTTTCAAGAAACCCCCACCGGTGCTAGTGGTGCTGATAAAAGCAGACACCACTACCACCGGGGGAGAGGCTCCATCTATTGGTGGGGAGCATCACCTGCTGGAAAACGGGTCCAGCGTCCCTATTACAGAATGTACTCAGAGAATGATTTGCTCATTACCCAAAAGGAACCTTCCATGTTGGCTGGGGTGTTGTGTATGTATATTGGCAGTTGTTGTATCCCATCTAGGGCTAAGGTTCTCCAGGGCAGGCTAGGTCTAGTGATGAGCTTAAGCCACCAGTACTTGGCCCAGCTATCGGCCGCGGAAAAAAATGAAGTAGAAACGTTTCTAGTCGGATGAATTTGGCCGCTCCTGTAGTAGCCCGTACGTTTCCTAAAATCGTGGCGCCTTAACGAGCGCGACTTTAGCAAGTACTGCAGCGGTTTTAACCACCAGTACATAGCCCCAGGCAACTGGAGTACCTGTTTTGAGCCTCTCCTAAAAATTAGGAGGCCGAGCGCCGTAGATAAAATGAATTGGCGGCGGGCGGCCTCCGAAAGGGGCCCGTGGCCAATAGCTGTGGCATGTACTGGTGCTTTAAGGATCCATTTGGTCTGGAGGGCTTCTATTTGGGTGGGTCGTGGGGTCTAGGACTCCCAGCCCCCCCTGACCTTCTTTCCTAGTGACATACTGCCAGGCGACTTTGGTTATAAAGTGTTGCCTCAGCCCGTCTCCTGTCCTCAGATAGTCTGTGGCTTTCCTTCTTAAACCACCAGTACTTGGCCCAGCTATCGGCCGCAGAAAAAAAAAAATAGAGTAGAAACGTTTCTACTTGGATGAATTTGGGCACTCTTGTAGTGGCCCGTACGTTTCCTAAAATTGTGGCTTGTATATGGGCACACACCTTTAGCAAATACTGCAGTGGTTTAAGTTCCTCAGCGCCAAATGGTCAGGAGGAGCCCCAAGAGGCTGCACCGTACCACATACATCGTGGCGAACATGGACGAGTTTAAACCACAAGTACATCGGAGGCTAAAAAATGTACAAGCCTGAATTTTTTTATTTTTTATTTTAATTTGCACCATTTCTCGATTGATGCATGTCATCCTTGAAAGCGCAGGGGCCATTTGCTAATTTACCCTTCTCTGTATCGTTCCAATTTTAACGGATGTCCCGCCGAAGGACCACCACACCAGTACATCCAAGGCTAAAAAATGTACAAGCCTGAATTTTTTTATTTTTTTTTTATTTTGCCACCACACCAATACATCCAAGGCTAAAAAATGAACAAGAATGATTTTTTATTTTTTTTTGCCG